AAGCAGTTCGGCTAAAGTCACAGGTCAGCAAGCCATTAGCAGAGCGAGGAAGAGAATGCTCCAGCCCAGTCAGGCCTGTTGCACTATACTGTGGGTGAGGGAGCTCCAGCCAGCCGGGAGCAGTCCCCCCCCTGCTGGGCCCGGCCTGGCTGGAGCAGCCTACCACACTGCAGGTGGGGGGAGCTCCAGCCTGGCTGCCCCCCATCCCTATTTAAGCAGTTAGCCGGTTAAACATAAAGTGTTAACTGGTTCACTGATTAAACAGGATTTTGCATCCCTGTGGTGAGCAATCAGCATGAACCTCACTTTGTGTGCGCTTGTGTGTCACTTTAGTAATACCCGTAGGAAAAACATATGCAGACAGAAACCAGCAGACTCTACCATTGCCCATGCACAGGGCTGCGGAACAAAATGTCTCTTGGGACACACATAGAACCCCCATGGGCCACATACGTTCCACAGGCTGCAGGTTGCCCACCATGGCTTTAATTAGTGTGCAACATGGGCAGTGGGTATGAGACAAGGAGAGGCACTGCCTCCCCTGGGTCTTAGAGCTCAACCTTTCCCCTCATCCTGTCCCTATTCTGACTGTTCCTCTTCCCCAAAAGAGGGTCTGTTACCTTAAAATGAAAAGCCTTCCAGCTTGCCATTTCCCTCCCCCGATAGCTGGCATTTCCTTTTCTTTACTTATGATCTTGAGGAACTAGTTTTAACAGACTCTTCCACCAAAATCAGTACCTTACTAAGATATAAAATCCTTTGTTATGCCTAAAATCTTTAGAAACCTATTTTTAACATAAACATATGGTGAAATTTCATAAACATGTCTATTGTTATGGAGATCACACACACGTTAGTGTTCCCTTTTTTCTAAAAACAATGAACTTTGTCATGAACACATTAAACCGCTCTGATGATTAATGTAAATAAAGTCTTTGTTTCAGTGTGTTAAATATGTAGTAATCTGTAATGTTTTGTTTATGAAGGCTTAAGAGTCTATTTAAAATACAACTTAGAAATACTGATTAAGAAAATGTGAAACAGTGTTGTATTCAGCATGACAGCTGACTTGCCCTTACTACAAAGTTTTTGCAAATAAATCTCTGACAAATTTCAGGGTATATAAAAAAAATCCGAGACTGATGTTTTCATTGCCAAATTAGTGCTTCTAATTAGGTGCCTTCTGCATGTCCAGTCTTCACAATCTGGCATGCAGTGGAAAACCTGCTCCATTTTCTTTAGAGAGAAATTTTAGAAGAGTGGGGTTTAAAAAAAAATTGCTACATTTGGTTCAGGGATTTGGCTGGAAGGGGTGAGCAGAGAGCAAAAGAGAAGAGGGAGATAGTGGGGAGGGGTGCTGTGAAGAGTGGGGACATACCATGGGTGAAGCGCGGGAAGGGAGCCGAGGGGAGGAGACTGCGGGCAGAGCCAAAGGTTGGGGAACTTTGCTTCTCCAAGAAACAGCTTCACCCATTGAAAGCATTTTCGGAACAGTGTCTAGATTGGCACAGATGCTTTTCCGCAAAAGCACTTTTTGCAGAAAAGCATCCATGGCCAATCTAGACGCGGTTTTCCGCAAAAAAGCCCCGATCGCCATTTTCGCGATTGGGACTTTTTTGTGGAAAACAGTACTATGCTGTCTACACTGGCCCTTTTGCGCAAAAGTCTTTCGGAAAAAGACTTTTGCCCAAACGGGAGCAGCATAGTATTTCCGGAAAAGCACTGATGATTTTACATGAGATCGTCAGTGCTTTTCCGGAAATTCAAGCGGCCAGTGTAGACAGCTGGCAAGTTTTTCCGCAAAATCAGATGATTTTGTGGAAAAACTTGCCAGTCTAGATACAGCCATGGTGTGTAAGTCCTCTGATACCATCACCGTCTCTTATGTCTGAGTCTAATAGAACCTGGCCAAAGCAGCTGTGTAGTACATATCAAATACAGCCTTGCACGCGGTAGTTTGCGAGTAAACATAGTCACTTCGTCCCCACTGTGCCTGGGGCTTCTTCCCATTACATTTGTTGTGTAAAGAGTGCACAATGATACAGCCATGGTGTGTAAGTCCTCTGATACCATCACCGTCTCTTATGTCTGAGTCTAATAGAACCTGGCCAAAGCAGCTGTGTAGTACATATCAAATACAGCCTTGCACGCGGTAGTTTGCGAGTAAACATAGTCACTTCGTCCCCACTGTGCCTGGGGCTTCTTCCCATTACATTTGTTGTGTAAAGAGTGCACAATAACCATTTCTGTCTCTGAGCGCAGACTGAGGTTTGTGGGCCACAAGAGGCTCTTTTATGTGTCTCATGTGGCTCTTTGCGTCTGTGCGATTTAAATGATAAATCAGTGAGCGCTATGAACGGCTCAGGATGCTTTGCTATGTTAACCAATTGCAATTGATAAAATACTTGGTCAGTCATTTTCCTATGTCCTGCTGTTTAAGTACGAATACATATTTCCCATGTCATGCTGTTTAAATATGAATAGATGCACTACAGTAAATGAAACAGCCAATTCACACAAATTGGGTTATTTTGGATAATGTTGATTTCTAGTTGGTCTTTTGAACCACTGAGTTCTTAGGCTCTCTCGAATACAGCAGACTGGCCTCGGCATGTGAGGGTACGTAGCCTCTGTGAAAACCATGTCATTTACATAGATATTTCAGTATGAATTGTGGAAGCCAACTTGTGCACAATAGATGAACAGGGCCTGTATCCCCTGCAGAAAGCATCTCCCAGAGAAATTTCGGACTCCATTCCAGAATTTTAGGATGACAAACGTTTGTTTTTTTAATTGGTTTTCCCCCCTGCCGTACATAGCACAGAAAAGCTGTATTTGTTCCGACTCATTATGGTCTGTTGCATTGTTTTGGGGGTTATTCAGTGGCTCCCTGGAGATAGGAGCAATAAGATGAGACGACACTCACATACCCCAATTGTCATTTCCCAAATGTGAACATATAGGGACATCTTCTATACACACCACTACAGTCTGAGCTCTGCAGTCAGTAAGATGAAACCAGCATTAGGTAGAACAGACATTTAAACTGATCAAGTGAAATTTGTGGTTGGTGGGTGTTCATTCTATTCTCTGTGTGTTTCTCATTGGCTCTTCTCGCACAATTTGGCTGTGTCTAGACTGGCCAGTTTTTCCGGAAAATCAGCCGCTTCTCCGGAAAAACTAGCTAGCTGTCTACGCTGGCCGCTTGAATTTCCGCAAAAGCACTGACTGTAAGAAATCAGTGCTTTTTGCGGAAATACTATGCTGCTCCCATTCTGGCAAAAGTCCCTTTTGCACAAAACTTTTGCACAAAAGGGCCAGTGTAGACAGCTGAGATTTGTTTTCCGCAAAAAAGCCCCTATCGTGAAAATGGTGATGGCGGCTTTTTTGCGGAAAAGCGCGTCTAGATTGGCAAAAAGTGCTTTTGCAGAAAAGCATCTGTGCCAATCTAGACACTGTTCCGAAAATGCTTTTAACGAAAAACTTTTCCGTTAAAAGCATTTCCGGCAAATCATGCCAGTCTAGACATAGCCTTTGTGTTCAGGCTGACCCTCTGAAATCCAGGCTTTCTGGGCTGGCAATATTCGTGGTCCAGCTGGATCAGAGAGCCCTGGAGCCCAGGAGTGCAAACTGGCTGGGAGCCCCATCCCTAGGGAGCCCCCGTGGGCGGGGCAGCAGCTGGACTGGCAAGCTCTGTCCTTGGGGATCTCCAGCAGAGTGCAGGAAAAGCAGGGCAGCTGGCAAGCTCTGTCCCCAGGGATTCCCAGTCAGGCAGGGGAGAAGTGGGGCCAGCCAAGGGAAGGGGAGCATCCTGGGAGGCTGGTGGCAGGGGACCTCCCCCTATCAGGCAAATTCCCTCACTGAGGATGGGCCAGGTCCCAAGGGTTCCGGACAAGGGAGGTCCAACTGGTAGCTGCGTTAGCTTTTATATAATGATGCCCTGTAAAATGTCCATTGCATCACTACACAGCATAATTCTGAGTGATCGTTCTCCATGTAGCCATGCTTTACCACAGGCCCCACGTTCCTTCCTTCTGTAGCTGATCACGTTCTCCAAAGGTCCCTTCACCTCTGCAAGAGCTCCAGTTCCTGCCTGGGCCGTTTTACGCTTCTGTTGCAAATCTTACTCGTTTTAGATTTGAGAAACATCATTACATCCTGTGAATCTACCTTTAAGTAGCATAATTCAAGGGAGGCTTTATTTACCAGGATACCGGCCTCTTGTGCTGTCCAAAATCAGTTCATTCTAGTTTCTTGCAAGTAAATTCCGCCCCTCCTTATTTTAAAAGCCAACACAATCACTTTGTTTTTGTATTTATATGGAAACTGGGCAGCACAGAACCTTTTAAACAAGGGCTCCAGTGAAACAAGCAAGCTGTTATTTCACAGATGGAAAGCATTACACAGCCTTGGGATGCCTTTCATGAGAAGGAGAGAGGGAATGGTCAATGCCAAGGCAGGCTGTTTGGGGAATAAGATGTACTGTAATGAGTCTGAAACTGCATGTAAAATATTTTGAGGACTGTGTGTATGCGAGGAAGTATATACTGAGCTGCATAAGAGTTAACACAATGTTTGCATAAAAAGATCATCGGCTTGGCTTCACAATGCAGAAGATCAACACTGTTGCAATCGATCTTCCGGAGTTTGATTTAGTGGGGCTAGTAAAGACCTGCTAAATTGAAATCAGAGGGTACCCCCATCGGAGCTGGTATTCCTGCTCCTCGCAACGAGTAAGGGAAGCCGACAGGGACGCTTTCTCCCATTGATCTTCCACTGGGGGGATGCTGTGGAAACTCAAATTAAGGTGTGTTAACTCCAGCTACATAATCAACATAGGTGAAGTTGCTTATCTTACTTCTATCTTCCCTTACAGTATAAACCTGGCCTAAGGGATGTGTCCTGTGATTGTTTAGTATTGTATCTATATTTTTTCACGTGATTTTAATTCCACTGATGGTAAGGTGCTCATGTACCGGTGCAAAAGATTGAGTTTCCACATGACATCTACCGTGAAGCTGAGTTCAGCTCAGGAATTGGCATCAAAAGCTCAAGTGGGTAAAATGTGTCATGCTGATAATGAATTAAAGACCCGGAATAAAATATTGTTACACATTAGCCATATGGGAGATGTGGTACTGTAATGTGAAAAGTAATTGGAAAAGCTTGCCTCTACGATTTCATAAAGGGTCTCCCACAGAAGGCTGGCTTTACTTGGGACCCATTTGCCGATAGTCGTGTTACCTTGGTTTGTGGTGTCCCTGCAGAAAGCAAAGTGTGGGATATAGAAGAAGCTCTTAGAATGCTGCCTAGTGTGATGTGGCTCTCTCTGTCCTGAACCACAGTGTGGTGTTTAAAGAACACTGTTTTTGGAAGTACGGTACTTAGAGAGTATATACTGAGCAGCATAAGAGCTCTGACCGCCCCTCTCCGTCCCTCCACCCCATGTTCTTTAAAAGGCTCATGAGAATTGTTCTAAAGTAGCAGTGTTATCCAGGCTCGAATTTAGCCAGGTTCACTGGTCTATTTAACTTCCCATTTCCATTTCAATTGTAAAAGGTTGGGTTTTTTTCCTTTCTGCATGGGCAGTGGGTGATGTAGGTAAGGGAAGGCTTTGCCCTCCCAAAACTGCCTACCCTGCCTGCTGGCAGCGCCACATGCCCAAGAAAGATCTGTCTTGAGAGCTGGAGTTGGGCAGGACTTGGCTGTGGGGAGGTTGTTGAAGGAGTGTGGTCTCGGGGAAGGGTGAGGCTTTGGGCAGAAGAGGCAGGGTTTGAGCTTGCTTTCCCTAGTTGGGTCTTCGCCTGCCGCCCATGTCTTCCTATATTGTTTGTATGTTCTTCAACAGCGTTCTGGCTTGGAGGTGGCTGCATTTCAGTGGGGAATAAATGGATCCTTGTCTGTCACTTAAATTGTATAATGTATTTACAATCCTTTTGGGTAAAATGGACTCTGCAGCCTTTACTGTGCATAGAAGTCACTGGGACTCGGAGCAGAGGAAAATATAAAAGCATCTTTGTAGGACAAGGCCATGACTTTGCAGCGCTATTCAGATTGGTTTGATTAAAAATTGTGGTTGCAGCCCATACAATCACAGTACTAATTGCAATCCTAAGAAATTATGTTCTGAGCGCATCACTGCCATATTTGGCTTGGAAAGCGGAGTCAAAGAACAAAGCTGCCGTACACGATCAGCAAAACGTGGTCGTAAATGCCTAAAATGACTGAAAACAAAAAATTGTTTCAATTAAACCGTGTCATGAAAGGAGACTGGAAGTCGGGGGCTCTCGTGCTCCCTCTGTTCAGCTTGTTGCATCCAGACCTCCAAGGACACTGAGAACAGTGTGAATTCCAGGTTCTGCACTTGTACATGTGATCTGGGAAACTAAAGAATGAGGGAAAGATTGAAAGGGAAAATATGTCCTGTGTAGTTCATCACCACAGGATATTACTAAGGGTAATAGACTAGTAATGCCTGTCGGGGGCAAAATAGAAATTATAAAGGCTCGTAGCATTATTTGAAGAGTTTGGCTAGAACCTTGAACTCCTTCAGAATCATTGTAGTGTAAGCAGGGTCCAGATGAATGCTTCCTTGGCAGCTAGCTGGGAGGGGGAGACTTGAGTGTTCTTAAAACAGTTTACTCCTGCTCTGCTTACATATTCAGCAAATATAGTGGTGTCAAAGTGAGCGACTTTGGCTGGTGTTATGTACAAATCACCGTAGTACAGAATGCCGGGGTAGTAACATATGGTTACCAATGTAATTCTTGTAGGAATACAGAAAAGCAGGGTTGTGTTTAACCTGTCCCACATGAAGGGGGCACACTCCATTAAAAAAAGCCTCATTTAAGCCAGGGGTGTGAATGTCAGAGCCCTGGGGATGTTGGGGAGCTGGGGAGAGGTGTCCCGGCTGGGGAGAGGTGTCCCGGGAGGACCCTCACAAATGGTCCTCCTTAGACTGGTTCAACCTATTTCTCCCCATTGTTCAAAGAATAGAACTAAATAGGCTTCATTAGGAGCCTCTTTGCTATTTTAATTTCTCAGGCGGAGCTGAAAGCAGCTGTGGTAAGATTGTGTTTCTGCCCTGCCTGCCCAGAGGTGGAAATCACTGTACATCTAAACTACGTTTCCCCCTCCCCTTCCCAAAAGAGCAATGAGATTTCCTCCCTGAAATCCCCATGGAATTTGCATATCTTCTTCCGATTGCTTTTTCGAAAGCAGGTCTTTTGAAAGTGAAAGTAATCTGGACGCGGGGTTTTTTTTGTGGGGGGAAAAAAACCTTTTTTTTTTTTCAAAAAACCACATAAACCTCCTTTTTATTTTTTTTAGGAAGAGTGTTTTTCGAAAAAGGGGTTCCCCCCCAAAAAAAACCGCATCCAGACTACTTTCGCTTTCAAAAGACTCACTTTCGAAGAAGCGATTGGAAGAAGAGATACAAATTTCCGCGGAATTTGCATGTCCTCTTTCGGGGAAACCCCCCCGTAATTTAGACAGGAGAGATGAAATCACTTGAGCTGGGGTAGTGACCACAGTAGAGAGGCAGGTGGCAGCAGATGACTGATTGCTGGTGAAATGGAGAGGAGCAAGGAGTGGCCAGCAGGGAGGCTGGTGAGAGGCGCTGTGAGCAAGGCAACTGGTGGAGAGGGGCAGTGATCTGGGTGCCTCTTTATCTCCACCTCCCCCCAGCATGGGAGGTGAATTCTGCAGATGGACCCCTGAATTCAGAGTCTGCGCTGACCAAGGACAGCAATGGGTGCAGAGAATGTGTAAGGGACTTTGAGGTTGCAGGACTTAAGAATGTGAGGGGGGGGAGGAAGGACACTGCCCAACCTACTTCTGGCTGGGTCTGTTCCTCAGGGTATATATTTATGAATCCTGTTTGTGGTGGTTTCCCAAATTAATGCCACATTACATCCTTCCTTTTAATAAAAAGTTTCTCTTCTACCCTGTGCTTGTGAGTGGAGAAATAGTGCCTCTCAGGCATGCCTGTGATGGGGTGAAAGCTTTCCAGGTTACTGGGTGGGAGCTCCGACTCGTTCTGTGTTGGATGGATGAAAAGCAACTCCAGGCTCTGGTTGCTGTTGACTCCCCCTGGCAGAAGAGTTCCAGTAGCAAGCTGACTTGGAAATTAGGTTACTGTAGTTTAGATACACAGACCATTTCCCAGATGGTTAGGTGACTTGCTGCTTTCCCCCTTTTCCCTGATATAACCTGTGCACACAGCTGATAAGAGGCTAAGGAGATGGCATATCCCAAAAGAGATGCTCTTATCTAGCTTCAGAATAGGGTCAGTCATGTTGAACCAAACACCATGTACTTCATCCAGCACGACATGGTAGTTATTTGTAGGACAGCTGGTCGCTCATATCCACGAGACAGACGGCCAGGTTACATGGGAAGGGTTGTCTGGAGCTTAAAACAGATGGTGCAGCTAAGTGTGCAGCTTGCAGCTGAACTGCAGAACTAAGCAAGGAACAAGGCATCTTGCGGGTCACTCAGTCAGCTGTGGTCGTTACCGAAGCCTGCAAACAACTGACTTATGGGGACTAAGAGTGGGAAAAGGGATTTCTAGGACATTGTGTGGCTCAGTGGAGGGATTGCTAATGGGATCGAGAATCTTCCATGTCCAGGTCATTAGTTCAAAGCCACTGCTGGGTGGTAGTAACCGAAAGGCTGTTTGGGGGCCTAGATGGAATGTTTGTAGTTACAGCTACTGAGGGCCTCACCATGGCTGACAGTAGTTGCACTTGGTGGCAGATGTGTAAGACAGCTAGTGTGGTGATCCCACGCTGTTGTGACTTTGACTGTTAGTGTCCACCAGTGGTGGGGCTAATCTAAGGGCTTTGTTGCTATGTTTACTTGATCATTTATACCAGCATAAAGCTCCTATAGTAATTACAGGGCTTTGGGAATGGGGGGTGGAGGGCAGGGGTGGCTGGGTAGGGAGAGCTTAAAAAGAATGAAATACTGAGGAGTAAGGCTGCTAATGATGCCTTGTCATTATTTCTTATGCCAGCGTTCTCCAACTTTTTAATGCTCCCCCCTCCCCTGCCCTACTTTCACCAGGTTGGTGCAGGGGGAGTGCAGGGTGCTGGTTCTGAACGAGGGGTCAGGCCTGGAACTATGGGAGTTCTGGAGTGATCAGACTCTGGATTTTGGAGTTCTCTGTTAGAGTAAGATGTTCATAGCTTCATGTGAGGTTTGGCTTTTGGTCCATCTCTACTTTTTAATCCCTTAGCTGGTATCTAGGGGTGCATCAACACAGCATCCTTCCCTATCTATACACAGTGTCAAATTTCAAAATAAAAGGCTATTCCAACAAATCCCTTAACCTTTGTGGAACAAGGGTTAGAGGGATACTGGAATAGCATGCCCGTTATTTAAAAATATATTTTGAAAATGGGTGCATTTTTAAAGACACAGAATTTCTATTTTGGGATACGTCTGGTATCCTGAAATAGCCCTGCTGTCTAGATGTAGCCTAGCTGTCCTGGTTTTAAGTGCTTCAGGATTTACTAAATTAAGTCCCACGGAAGGGATCTCTTAGATGATATTTGCACTATCTCACAGTTCAGACTACAAGGGCACGAACAGCATTGCATGCCCACATTGTTACTTTTCTACATGGACACAAGTTAAAAGATCCCTAGTTTGCAGTAACTTAGTTACAAAGCAAACTATGAACTTTTTAGTTCCCATCCAGATAGGGAAGTTATAGCACTGTACTTTGAGTGTGTGGATGTTGCTATTCATACCCCCGGAATCCAAAATGTGGGGCAGTGTAGGCAAACCCTTATTTTTAGAGCTGGCTGGAAAGCCATGATTCCCCCCTCTCCCTCCTACATAATGGTTTGCAGGAAATATCCTCTCTTGAAATTTTCCCACTCTGCTTTTTCTGTAAGAAAGTTTGAAAAAGCAGGAAAGTGTCCATCCGTGCTTTCTTATTGTATGAGGCAACACTGTTAATTGTTTGTTTGAAAGTATTGCTCTGAAAGGTTAAAATATTCCTTGGTCTAAAAATGGTACCAGCAGACAAAGCAATACTTTAATCTCTTCACCGATGTTCTCATGCTTTCTCACTGCTACCTAATATGAGGATGGGAATACTAAGAGAGCCTGCATATATGGGGAGGAGAGCCCACAATTTTCTGAAACAAATTCCTTTGGAAATTGTTTTGACCTGTTAAGAGAAACTGGAGGGGAGGGAAATCAAATATACAAATTTCCTAGGGGGCAAAGGAAAAATCACGTTTATGAAATTCCAGTTTCTGAATTTAAAAAACGTAGACCACAGGAGAGCCCACAATTTTCTGAAACAAATCCCTTTTAGAAATTTTTTTGACCTGTAAAGAGAAACTGGAGGGAAATCAAAAATACAAATTTCCTAGGGGGCAAGGGAAAAATCACATTTATAAAATTCCAGTTTCTGAATTTAAAAAATGTTGACCACGTTTGCTAAATCTGTGTGCTTAGTTAAATGAGTTTTGGAACATCTTTGCATGGATATGTATGATTTCTTTCAATGTTAAGCCAAAGGTGCATGGAGTCTGAGACAGGGTAGTGTAGACATACCCTGGGTCTCCAGATAGGGGGGGGAAAAAGGGAATTATGTACCTCATTATTAGACCCAAGCACTGGAGACAGGTTTGGATGTTTTGGGTTGTTGGACAGCAATGGGAGGTATGCTATGATAATTTGCCTTCTTCCAATAATAGCAATGGGGGAAAAAGGAAAGAAATAGAATTTCTTGGAGAGAGATATTAGAGAGACAGACCGGATTCACTTCCTAGATGAAGGTGGCTTAGCTCTGGTGTGGATTTAAGTGAAATGTTAGAGAGAGGTCAAGGTCAGGGAAATAACATAGACATTCAAGATAAAACAGGTGCCTACAAAGGGAGTTGAAATCTGGTTGCTTCAAAAGAAGAACAAGCAAGGCAAGGAGTGTGAGTGAAAGAGAAGGACCAGCATGTGTCTGGGCAGAGCAAGGCAAAGACGGCAGAGCATAAGAAGCTTTCAGTGACAATGAAGTTTGACAGGCAAGAATGAGAGGAAGAGACACCTACTAATAGGGCGTGTTTAACCATTTCTCTCTCATTAAGAAAAGAACAGCTTGGAAAATGGCCGTTGTTAACTTAGAGGAATTACGGTAATACCGAGCCTTCTGAGATACAGCTCAGTCAGCATTTCCAGCCTAAACTTAATTCGCCAAGCTTCAGTCTGGGGGATGGACACTTGACATGGATTTGAACGTCACTGTGGAAGTTGTGGAGAGGGTCTTTGCTGTGTGACTGCTTAGTTTTGACTGTGTTTCTCCCTAGAATAGCCTCCACTTGGTAAACTGGCTGGGAGTTACTAGGCACAATAATTCAGCAGTAATTCTCTATTATTATTTTTATTATGGTAGCACTTTATGGTCCCAAACATAGATCCCATGGTGCTAGACACTGTAAAAATATGTGCTCGCTGCCAGAAGTTAGCTTTGTGGGTTCTGCTCCCCACTCGGTCACTGACTCACTATGACTCCTGGTCCGACACTCCCTGTGCCTTTGCTTTCCCCACGTATGAAAAGAGTAAAATAAATTCCTGAGAGGCTGGTTTGTGAGAGGTGATATAATGGAAAAAGAGGCTGACTTGTTGGGTTGTAGCATCTCTGCAATGGGGACACAGCAGTCTTCAGCGTCTTCAGCATCTGCAACAGTGTTTTTCAACCTGGGACTGTCTGGCCAGCCTGGTGCATTCACAGTGTGTGTAACTGAGATACATGGCCTTTGTTTCTTTTTTCTCTTGCCCTCCCTCACTCCCACCCTTCCCCCTCAGCATTTAGTGCTGGCTTTGCTCCTCTCTGCTCTGAAAGAATCGACAGAGCTGAAGGCTCTGGCAGTAGCCACCTAAACACGTGTCTGCATCTGTGGCATTCTGCTGAGGTGAAACCGTGTGCAGCGTGGCCTCCCAGGGCTCCCAGCTGAGACAGCTGACGAGGGGGGAGGACTAGAAGGAGGGGAGTATGAAGAGCTTGCGAGAGAGAGCAGCAACCAGGTCACCGAGCTAAGACAGCTGACGAGGGGGGAGGACTAGAAGGAGAGGAGTATGGAGAGCTTGTGAGAGAGAGCAGCAACCAGGTCACCACTCAGGGGGTATGGATGAGGGGTGAATACCTACCAGTCTGTTGTGGGGAGGGAGAGAAAATGGCTGAGGATGGGATAGTCCAAGTGACAAGCTTGCAGTAATGCAGGGAGTTCCCAAGCAGTTCAAATTGTATTCACTGTCTCACCTAGTAAAGAAATGAGATTCCCTGTTCCTATAAGAGATCTTTACCCACGGGTAAGTTTTACAGCTCTGTACCTCTGCCATCATGCTCCGTGAGGGTGCCCATATATCTCTGAAGCAGGCGTCAGGATCAACATCAGACACACCTCCCCGCAATCTTCTGCCTCCAGCCTCCGGGATCTCTTCTTCCTACTTTTCCTGAATGGGCTGCATAGAGTTTCCCCAGATTAGAGACCCTGGACAGGGGGAGTCCTGAGCAAAGCAACCCATCTCTCTGCAATCTGCTTCTGACTCACTGCTGAATTCAGGACTTCCCAGGACCCAGCGTACCAAACTCTGCTTCCTTGGCTTGTGGGATACGTAGTGTAAAACCCAGGTCTCAGGAAAATGCCCCACTATGAATCCACAAGCCACTATGAGTCCTTTGGGAAAGTGGCAGTCCTTCCTTGCTGTCCCTTTCTGCACAGGTCAATGTTAATAACTGTACGAGCCGTGGCACAAACCTAGACCGTGTTCTGTAAGCTAAGCAGTAGGTAACTAAGGCTGTAAGTGTTCCGCTAACTGAATGTCACCTAAATCTAATCCAGGCCCTGACTCAAATTGACAGAGACAGGCTGGCCTGGGAAATAATCTCTTTAAATAGCAGCAGCCAATTCGCAAAGTCATTTCTTTTGCCCTTTCTAGAGTCGGAGAGCTGCTTATAGCAAGTCACCTACAGAGCACACATCTCACCCAGGCTTGACAGGGGTGGCACTTTCCAAAGGCAAGTGAGTCAGTTGCCTGGGTTGCCACTTGGGCTAACGCCGGGAATTACTATGAATTTTGCAGCCCAGTTTCTCTACTCCAAGGTTTTAAAGAACAGAACTCCCAGGGAATGCTCCAGGGAAGAGGAGGACTATGATCCTTTCTGGCAAAGGTTGGAAATCATTGCTATGTGACTTAGAACTAGATTGCTCTTTTTTCCTCCTTAGGAATGATGGACGGTCGCGGGGCTGGAGTTGTAGGCACCGCTTCCCCTGGATCTCTCCTGCCTCCTTACGGTGCTGTAGTTGGCGTTGTGCTTCACCTCTTTGTGTATTTTGTTGCTCTGCTTTATAGGTAATGCTTTTTATTGTCCCTTTCCTCTCCCAGTTCCCCAGAAAAACAAAGCACTTGTAATTATTCAGTATTTTTCTAAAACTCTTGATGGGCCAAGGTGATCCTTAGAGTCACTAATACAGGAATGAATTTGTCCCACCAGTAGAGCTCAGGACTGAATTGTCTTATCTGTGGGATTTATATATTGTGGAAAAGGCCAGAGGTGGTCAATGAAATGCTGGAAAGTGAGAGTCTTGTGGGAAAATATTTATTGTATGCAGAATTCTGGAATTGGGTGTTAATGGCATGTTACAGATTTCTTGCTGTTAGTGATTATGTGTTAACTATTGTATTACAGTAGAGCGTGGAGTCCCTAGTTGAGATCAGTGGCCCAATTATGCTAGATATTGCTTAACAATTAACTGTGAACATTCCCTGCCCCAAAGATCTTACAATCCCAGGTCCTGATCTTGATATTAAGTGACCGAGGACATTGCAAATTTAAGCACATATTTGAGTATTTATACCTGCACAGACAAGACGGACAGAAGTATTATCCCATTTTCCAAATGAAGATCTGAGTCACAGGGTACGTCTACGCTACCCCGTATCTACACACGCCTTCTGTTGTTTCAAAATATTTTTCGAAATAATGGGTGTGCTATTTTGCCATCCCAGTAAACCTTGTTGCATGAGGGTTAAGGGATGGCTTGAAATAGTGCATTATTTCAAAATTTGGTGCTGTGTAGACGTGCCAAATTTCAAAATAAGATATGCAATTTCCATAGTGCAAATTGTGTATCTTATTTCGAGTTTAGGGTCCTGTGTAGATACACCCACAGAAAGAGAAACTGACTTCTTCAAGGTCATGTACAAAGCTTTCAGCAGGGTCAGGAATAGAACCTACATCTCCAGAGCTGACTCCAACGCCTCTAACACAAGACCCACCTTTCTCATCTATGTTGCTTGCCCTTCCTTACATGCAAGCTAATGGCAAACTCAGTGGGTTAGCATCCTCAGAACTTTGCATTTTAAGGGTTTTTTTTTAATTATAAAAATGTTTAAAGCGTTAAGCTTGGATCCTTCACTTTTCGCATCCTCAGAACTTTGCATTTTAAGGGGGTTTTTTATTATAAAAATGTTTAAGGCGTTTAGCTTGGATCCTTCACTTTTTGAACAGATCCAGCCACCTCTGAAGTAAATATTGTTCACTTGACTTTCTTCATGAAGAAGCTGCTTTGGGCGATTATTGTGGCATTAGCATCACGGGGAATGAACCACACTAAGCATAGCCACTTAAACTCATCATGCCTCCACATTTTTAATTCCTATATCAAGGAGGTGTCAGATCGTTAAGGGGATAATACTGCCAGCTTTAAGCACTGACATTTGTATGGACTGAGGTCACAGTGACTGTTCAGACAGGACTGCTACTCAGACTGAAGCCAAGTACAGGGTATGATTTGGATCTGTCTCTTATGATGCTGAATTAGCGAAGCTAATGCAATCCACACAGATGCAGAAAATACGTAGAGACTTATGTTGCATTCGCCTGAGCTTGAACTTTGCATTATAGAACGTGGCACATGATGAACTGAGACTCAAATGTGCCTGCTGTATGGGTAGAATCCAAATCATTTCCCAGCTTTGTTATTCAACTAGTTTATTTTAACTGAAACAAACTGCAGCTAAGATATCTGGTCATGGTTCTTTTGGCTCCATCACCCAGGGCATTAAGCCTGCCTCTCTACAGTCTAATCATTAAGGCTTGCTTATGGAAGATTGATCCCAGAACTGGGACTCGGAAGATCTGGGTTCATTTCCCATCTTGGACAGACTTCCATGGTGATCCTAAGCAAGTTGCTTAAATCTCCCTCTCTCTGCCCCAATTCTGTCTCTGTACAGTGCTTATTCAGGGGATGTTTTCCAAAGTGCCAAAGGGGTTTAGGAGCAGAAATCCAAACGACTTTTTGTGTGAATCGGGTGCTTAAATCCCTGAGTAGCTTTGGAAAAACCCACCATTGCCTTGTCACTTCTGTGGGGGCAAGGACTGTTTCTTACTGCCAGCCTTGGGAGTCTTTAGGCGCTACCCAAATACAAGGAGTAACAGATTAAAAAAATCCTTTGCTAGATTTGTCATTACAGATGGAATGCTGCAGGGGAATGGGGCTATGTGCTCCCTGTACTTGGGGAAGACCCATTGTACCTCTGGGCCAAGCTATGTAGAATGCTCTTGTACCACTTTGAAAGATGCCTTACAATTGCTGCTGGTGGTGGTGATGCTTTTTTGTAACCTATAAATATGCAGGAGCTTCAGGGGGTAGCTGAGTTAGTCTGTTACAGAAAAAAACAGCAAGCAAGTGGTCTGGTAGCGCTTTATAGCACTAAATATGCAAGTATTGGTTTGTTTTCCATTGGCCTCTGTTCTCCATGCAGTTCAGAACATCGGGCTGAACCACAAGTTCCGTGCTGGATGCAGAAATTACTGGCTGAAACATTATGGTCTGTTACACCAGAGAGTCAGACTGGTGTATCCTACTGATCCCTTCTGGCCTTCAAATCTATGACTTTGTAGTCGTTAGTCCAAAACGTTAGTCCATTGACTGAAGGACCCGTCACTCAAACCTCTTTTTTAACTTCTCTGAATCATCTATAATGGATGTCACTAAGGCTGGCTACTGTAAACTGCTGAGCCACTCCTGAGAAGTGCTTATCATTTTTAAGAAGATGTTCAGTATCTTGGAGGATCAGGCCTCTGCTGACTAATGTTTTACAGGGGTAGGAATCTTTCCATCTGCAGTAGTCCTTTGAGATTTACAAGTCTGAGATCTGACTGTTATCTTGAATGCAAGCTACAAGTGGGTCTCTTGATTCTAAAAGGATCTGGCTCTCTCTCTTTTCTTTTAAACCTAGATTTGATATTAAAATGCATTGGGGACTCATTTACATTAACAGGAGTTTTCAGAATGGTGTTGGTGCATAATAATCCCTAACAAGCTTGCACATTACCTTGGTCCACTGAGATTTATGCAGAATTCAGAATCATACAGAAATAAAAACACACCGAACTACCCTGCTAACATTCCCCCTGAAAAGCCCAATATTGTCTCTCTGCATCTATACTAGAGTTGAAAAACTTGTCAATCAAAATTCTGACAATAACTCCGAAATGAGAAGCTTATTATCTCTCAATTCTGACTTGCACCATCCCCTCAAAATCCTGGAGGTCACACCCGATAGACCATCCACAGTTCCTTGATGGCAACAGCCACAGCACAGAATTAGGGATAGGATGTAGGGATTGGGAAGTTTTCTGTGCGTCTTAGCAAACACCTCCCTCTTCTACTTCTCTCCCACTTAGTTCATTTTCCCTCTTGACCTGAGCAATCAGAGTAAGGCATCTGTGTAGGGGTTTCATAGACATTCGTCTTAGCAAACACCTCCCTCTTCTACTGCTCTCCCACTTAGTTTATTTTCCCTCTTGACCTGAGTAATCAGAGTAAGGCATCTGGGGAGGGGTTTCATAGACATTTCCAGCTATCCAGACTCAGAACTAGGGTCTTTCAATCTGTCATCAATGTAACAGCGAAGGAGAAAAGCAGATGCTTTCTTTGCCCATGCAAAGCAGGGGACTTCGGCACAAATTTTCAAGAGAAACCATTGCCAGACAGCGGGCACTATAGTTAGAGAACCATTCACCAACAAAAGTATTGTCCTCCTACTCCCAGTGCTGGCATGTTATTTTATCCAGATTCCTGATGACTTGAGGGAAGGCTTTTTTAAAAAAATGATATCACTGATAAATAGAAGCCTGGAAGGTCAGATGCTTCTCTGGCCAATCCTTCATTAATTTTGCCAACACGACTTGGAGTATGGCATAAGAAAGCCAATGGGTCCTGTCAAGGGCATGTGTCCCCTAAAGAATTGTGGGTGTTTCAGAACTGATCAGCAAGCCCTGGTTTGAACACTATCTGTGATATGGTTGAAAACTCTCTCTGGACCTGGATCTGTGCCCTGGTACAGCCCATCAATTATCACTTTATGCCATGAATGTGCTGTGCCTCTAGACTGCAGTTCTTGTTCTGGAAAAAAGTTGGAAATTTCATCATATTGGCTATCCATGCGGACCTGGTTTCTCATAGTCACATAAAGCACCACTTGGCCCAGAATATGCTTATATCTTTATAGTTTTCCAACTACTTCATAAAGAACGGCACATCAGACAAGGCTCAGGTTTCACTTACCTCTTTCGCTCAAGAGAAAGCATCCAGCCTGACACTCTGAGGCTTCTGACTTCAGAAATACTGAAACGGCCAAGTCCAGAAAATGGACCTGCCAATAAGAAGAGGCTTTCCTTAGACCATGTGAGCTCTAGCCTGGATACTTGTAATGAGCAAAGGCTGTATGATCAATTGAGGCTGTTTTGCCTCCACAAAGAATTTTATATAATTCTGGGGACCTGGAATCCAGCCATCATCATCAATCCATGAGAGGCTCCTTTGCTCTCACAAACAAAAAGACTCCCCCCTCCCTTCTGATAAATGCCTCATTTGTTGGGTTTAGATAACATCAGGACAATTTTGACTCTACTGCCCTCTGGTCTTGCTTCTCAGGAATATAGCGAGCAAATAGGCTACCATATAGAGCTGGGTTCCAAAGCATACCCAAGCAGACTTCCTGTAGACATGGAGAAAAGTGATAGCAATTCAGTACCTCAGAAGATAGAGACAGTCTATATTGTACTACAGCTAAGAGAACCTTCTGACTTTTAACTGTAGCGTCTCTTGCAAATATTCAAGAGCAATACACAAATTAAAAGGAATGAGTCTCATTCAGGAAAGGAAACCCTCTCTTAGCAATTAGCAATTATGCATATGAGTTGCATCTGCAATTTAGCCATTTGACCAGCTAATACAAGAAAATTAGAAGTGGGTTTTTCTTTCCTACTTGAAACAAAAAAACAACACCCCCCCCCCAGTTTTGTGGTTTGAATAAAGTGTACTGAATTTTCTTTCCTACAAATACTACTTAACTTCATTTAAAATACGGAGAGTTTTGAAAGCAGACAAATAAAGACAAAACGTATTCCAAGCCTTTTATCATTTAAGACCATATTTCAAAATAATGATCATGCAGCTGCACTGAGACTTTGCATTGAGTAAGATTATCTGTATGCGTAAGTAATTTCATGTAGTTCCTTCATTCTCTTTGGAATGTCTCCATATGGATTTTTTTTTCCAGCTATGCTGAGCAACTGTTCACAAAAAGGTAAGTTTATAAACCATGTTTGCATATTTGTTTTTACTTACCACAATGAATGTGAAATGGCATGAATTAGTCAGGTAGTATAATTTGACATCTGGATATTTGCTTAATGTGTGTGCTGGAGAATCACGTGGAAGTAAAAGTAATTCACAGAGCTTCTCTAAGAGAATCTATTAAAAAGCACAGCTGATTCATTTGGAGAGAGCCATAATTTATATGATATGAGGAATATATTTAGAGCTGGGCAACATTTTTTTCTCTGTGAACAACAAATTATCTGGGAAATATGTTTTACCAGGGACCTGAAACCATTTGAGAATTAGACCTGAATTAGGAATAGTTTTGGGGGGAAAACCTTAAAAACAAAAATTTTGGAAATGTCAAAACAGATTGCTGTGAGAATCTTGACTTTTTTTCTTTACATACATTCAGAATGAAATCTTAATTCAAGATGACATTTTTAAACTAAACGTTGACTTCAACTGAAGTTTCATTTTGAAATGTCATTTACAATTATTTTAAAATCAAATGTCCATTTGAAATGCAATCTTAAAATGTTTAATTTGACCTGAAACTTTTTTTTTCTAGCTTTGTGCTTTATTGAGAAACAACAAATCCTTTCTGTTTTTAATTCAAAACAGACCTTTTGTTGTTGTTTTATTCCTGGCTGGGCCACTGATATGAAAAAAATCAATGATTTGCTCATTTCTAGATCTGATCCCTCAATCATATGCCACTATTCATAAAAAGTCATCCTTTTGCTTTTTCACTGCCTGCTCTGTTGTTCACATGTTTGTATATAAGCATTAGCTGTAACTCAGCCTCTGCTAAAGAAACAGTGCTGAAGCCAGTTAAGCAAAGTAAACAAACTGCCCTGAGGAAGAGAAATGAACATGACCTGGCATGGCAATTAGATTATTTGAGTTTGCAACATGTGCCTGGACCTCTACAGATCATGAGGCTCTCAACAGGACAACAGCACATCCACGTGGGTTCTACAGGAAAAATATAGCTGACGTGAGAGAGAGAGAGAGAGAGAGAGAGAGAGTGCAGATATGGATAAGAAAAATACAGATGAGACCATCAGAACATATAATCTGACCTGTATCCTTGGTAATGAGGTCCTTAGCAAGAATTTCCCACTAGTGGTGGTAACATACTAACAGTGGCAGATCCTGTGCACAGAGTCATTTGGAGTAAGTGTCAAAGCCAGTGGCATTTTGCTAGCAGGCAATTTGGCTCAGCATTCTTGTAGCCATTAAAACCGTAAGACCAGACAAAGTCTAAGAGTCTGATGTATTTCCCTTCTACCTCTCTTCACCCTTTCCTGAGCCTAAGCAAGGAAATCCAGGAATAAGGCCAAATCCCCCAGTCTGCAATTTTGTCCTCCTCTCTTGTAGAGAAGAATATTTGATGTCATGAATGCATGATGGAAGTGTCACCTCATACCTTCAAATCTCTATCAGTCTAAGCTAACAGAACGTTTTTGTATTTTTTGAAAAATAGGAGTGGGCCTAATATCTGTGTCTTACAAATCAGTCAGTCCCTTGAACTGAAATAAAATCCATACTTGTGTATCTATCTAATAACATACCCTTTTTACCTATCATCCATTTAAGAAACTTGATATAACTATGTATTTAGGGAGTTATGAGCATGTGTGTTATCTTTTGGAGTAGTTGTGGGCAACTGGGTGATGGGAAATATTTTATTTGTTGGTGTGCTGGGATGGACTAGGCCCTGAAGCCCCCTGCTGGAAGCTTGTGGCCTCATCACACCCTGCCCCAGGGTAAAGAGCAGAGAATAAGTCCTTCAGGAGAGCTAGAGTGGTGCTTCTGCTGCAGCCAATCAAGGCCCAGCAAGCCAGTATAAAGAAATGGCTGGGCCAAGGCCTGTCAGTTCCTCTTTGGAGTTCAAGCCAGGCAGACCCAGGGACTGATGGGGAAAGCAGCAGCAGTATCTTGCACAGGTCAGTGTGTAGAGTAGACTGCAGACCTGGCTGAAGCCCAGGACCAGCTGGTAGGGGGAATTCCAGAACCATGGATAAGGTGCTGTTGGGACTTTGCGATAAAGCCCTGTGAGGGGGCAAGGTACTTGGGTTGCAGGAGAAAGAGATCTAGTCCTAAGCAACCTAGAAGAGGGGCATCTGTGATACTCTCACAGCCAGCCACTGAATGGGAGCTTGTGAACATGTGTCATTGGCCAGAAGGAGGTGCTTGAGAGAGGGTGAGCTCAAGAGCAGTCAATGAACTTCTGAACTGAGATGTTAGTCTGTTTAAAGCATGATTACAATAGGCCTAGTTAGGTGGTCATGGCATCTTGAAATATGTTGTAACCATGTCTATAGGGTGCCATTGATCTGCTGTGTTGAACTAGTCACCATGCAGGAGAACTAACTCCCGACTCCAAAATAACTTAACTGTAGAAATCCATTAACTGTAGGCTTTCATTTTTAAAAATGAAAATCTGTGCTCCGAGAGTGTGGCAATTTTAAGATATATTCCTGTGAGGAATCTATAAAACACTTCAGCCCAGCTAAATTAGAAACCTGGAAATACAGACCTTATTCAAGACACACATGTTTTATTCAGTCCAGCTTAGAATAGTAACAGAATAATGTTCCTTTTTTTTCTACTAAAGAATTTTTAAAGATGAGTAAGTTTTTGTGGGAAGAAGTCTTATTTCCTGCTCTCAAAAGAATACCCCTTTAAAGATACTTAAATGTATCTTTAAGGAGTGCTACGTGGACCCCTTAAACTCCATTCATCTGAAGAAGTGGGTTGTGCTCACAAAAGCTCATGATATCGTCTACATTTTTTGTTAGTCTGTAAGGTGCTGCAGGACTATTCATTGTTTAAGTTTTTTCTATTACAGAATAACACGGCTACCCCTCTGAAAATAAAACACCTTTTGTTATCTGCCATAAACATTCCTCCTCTAAGCCACACAGTGGAACAAGCAAGAATGCATTAAGAGACAGCGCATCTGATACGCTTCAGGAGTCCATGAAAGAGTATTGATGGCAGTTTTTCAGCACAAGGCTTTGCAGCTCTGGAAAAGGGGATTTGTCTAGGGAACATTTCCTTCTAAACATGCCATAAAAGTCTTGTTAAAAATCATTGAAATCAGCAGCACCATAGAGTAGTGATAAATGTAAAATGAAGGGGCCATTCCAGTCACCATCTCCATAAACGAATGACCTAAGTTGTTTGAGACTGTTCCAGGACTATAGAAAATAACAGCTCATAGATGTTGTTGGCAAGGATGCTAAAATCTCATATTGAAAATACTTTTTTTTTTTTAAATCGGGAATGTTTTGTATTAGTGAGACTGAGCTATTACTGTATAATTTGACTTTTAGTAGACCTCTTGTAACCACAGACGTATGAGCAAGGGAGCTATCCCCTATCTGCCCAACTCCATGGGTCACTTTCTAAATTCCAAGAGTTTCTGGAAGTTTGGCTTTTATTTGTTCAGAGAATTTATGCATGGGACTACACATTATAGTCTACAATGAATAACATGTAAAGATGACTTTTTGGAATGTTAGTTTTGTTCCACTAAAAAAAACCCCAACCTTCCAATGAGAGGGTAAAACTAGCCTTGCTAATATGACCTAGCAGTTCCCATGAAACGTTTCTCTCCAGTGAAATTAAGATGTAAATTTGTGAATACAACCACTGCTGGCAATAGTACTATATGCACCTCATATTTGCTCTTTCTGTGTTTATTTGCATTACAGTAGTACCTGGATTTGAGTGTCAGTGGGGCCCCATTGTAGCAGGCACTGTGCAAATTCCTAATAAGGGGCGGTGCAAATTCCTAATAAGAGATCCTCCGGAATAGGGCTTTATTCCGGAGGATCGGGCCAGTCTAGACGCTTTTTTCCGGCTTTTCCCAAAGCCGGAAAAAAAGCGGCGGCCATGTTTATTTAAATCCCACGGGGGATATTTAAATCCCCCGTGGATTTCCCTATTCCCACTTTCAAAATTAGCATGCCCCTTCCGAAGAAGGGGCCAGTGTAGACGTAGCCTGTGTGTTTGGCGAGGAGGGAGGGAAGAAATCTGTAATACGTCTGGTCACTTGTGCAGCTGGGAAAAACATTCCTTCCTGGACCCCCACATGTAGCCAACTGCAAACCAAAAGCCAAATGATTTGAAAATGTTTAGTTTTAGTAGGTACAGCTTTACACCTTCCTTTGTTCCTTTCTGTTCCATCATAGAGGATAGACATGTCATCCTGCTTTGCTCCAAATGCAGAACCCGTATATTTATTAAACATTTCTGTCTTTTCTACATTACTATTCACAGTTCTGTCATCTGTAATCTGCAATGGATCTATACCTGACATAGGTTTTATGTTTTTTCATGTTTAAAACATGCCACCTTATTATCTTAATCCTGTTGGCTACTGATATGTCACTTATTATTTTAGCTTCCCTTATCAGTCACCTACACTTCTTCATTTATTCATTGATATTTTATTCCCATCTTTATATATAAATTCTTCATGTTTTATTGCCACTTCTGCATCTTCTTTTAACTATGATAGCTTTTTGCCAGGTGTAACCATTTTGTCTGTGAAATTGTGGGAGTTTGGGACAGTCAGTAATTTTTGTTAAAATTTCCCACTTTTTAAATTTATGTTCCTAATCAGTTATGCTGACAATTGCTTTGTTTTGGAAAAGTGCTCCGCTTAATCACTGATGCCATATTCTTTGCACAAAAGAAATGTAATGATATCATGATCACTGACCGGTACCTAGGCAACTAATTTTTAGTACTGTAAAATGTATACTTTCCCCCCTCTTATTTTTAAGTGAGGGTTTTATTTTAATCCTAGTAATAAAGTATAGTTCATATCCTGGAGCTAAGTCAGACACTGCTGGTGAATCTCTTTGAAATGAGTGGGGGTATTTCTGGTGAAAATGAATGTAGAATGTTTTAAACTGGGGTTTAGGGAGCCATCGTCCTTTAGCTTCATGGTAAGACCCAATTATTAAAGTCAGCCCATCCCTGTCACAGGGAGCCATCGTCCTTTAGCTTCATGGTAGGACCCAATTATTAAAGTCAGATCATCCCTGTCACGTGCTGAGGGAGGGCTGCCAGCAGCATACTTTGCAGGTATCCAAGAGCAGAGAGGCAGACACCTGATGCATATGATATAATCACACTTGTTACTGCTATTGTTAGCTTGAAGGGAGTGCCATGTTACAAGCTGTTGGTGTTTTTTCCAGACTTTGGTAGCATTGCAGGCATAGTTTTTCAGCCACACTTAAACAAATGAGAGCTTTTGGTGCTGAACACTCTTTAAAAATCTGGCTTCATCCTCCATAGCAAGGGAATTATAATTCCTTGGTTTGTCCACGTGCCTAGTTATCTGCTGCCACCATGCCAACTGGCTAGTTGCATGAGTTTGCTATCCCTATGGAGCATGATAGACAGAAACATTAAGGTATTAATGAACTGAGGCATGCAAGTGAAAGAGAAGATGAGGTGTGCTATCCTGTAGTTATCAGTCTTTTAATCATCCAGACTTTCACTGCTCTGTAACAAGGTTTCATTCTTTCATAGGGATAACCGGAAAGTGAAAAAACAAGATGCCCCAGCACGTTGTGAACTCCATTGCTATAAGGAGGGGCCGATTAGAAATGGCCATGTTGGGCAGCGGCCACCGTCCATCAACCCCGAGAGACTGAAAGACTTTGGGGAGGAGGAATACCTGAATGGGGACGTGAAGACCTGGGAAATGAAGATAGTGAGCCGTAATGAGGAACTGCTCAGAGACGCCCTTGACCCAGTTGCTCAGCCGAACAGCAGACCTAGCCGGCCAACCTGTAATAAGCTGATTCGATTTGAAGATATTAGTGCTGCAGCTTTCAAAATCCAGAGTGGCGTCCAGAAAACCCCCTGCATGGTACAGTATTTACAATGCGCCGTTCTCCGAATCTCTCCCATCTCACTGGAGTTAGTGAGAAATGACAGTAGAACATGCATTATGGGTAGCAGTTGTCTCTGTAGGATGGCCTTTCCAACAAGGTAGCTGATATCAGCCAACATTTATTCTTCTGTATTTTCAGCATTCTAAATTCACAAATGGTTCAGTGACCCATAGAAGTTAAACACTTGCCAGAAGGATCTTCTTACTTAGGCTACGTCTAGACTTCAAGGGTCTTTCGGAAGAAGCTTTTCTGGAAGAAGTCTTCTGGAAAAAACTTATTTAGAAAGAGAGCATACACACAGCAAAAGCACAAAGAAAAAGTGATGTGCTTTTTCAAAAGATAGCGTCCAATCAATGTGGATGCTATCTCGCATTTAAGTTGTGATTAGTTCGGATAGAGTGGCCACCAGGGTACCTGTGTTATTTCCTGGAGGCCTCTTCTTTCTAAATAACTCCCTCTTCTGCATTCACACATGCCTTTTTCCGAAAAAGTTTGTTTGGAAAAAGACTTCTTCCCCATAGAATGAGGTTTACCACTGTCAGAAAAATGCCTCCATTCTCATAGAATGAGGTTTACCACTGTCGGAAAAATGCCTCCATTCTTTCAACTTTGTCGAAAGAACTCAATGGCAGTGTGGACGTAAGTATTGTTTTTCCGGAAAAACACTGCAGTGTAGATGCACCCCCTTGGTAGCAATAAAGTGGGTATTGTTGTATCCCTTTTGGCAATGTTACACTAAAGGCTATGTCAGCACTTCTAGCATATACACCTTCTGCTTCACAATAGGCAGACATTTTTCAGCAAAGCCTCAGATTTACGTTTGGTAGAAGATGTAATCTGTGTAATCCAAAGGAGAATATTTTTAAATCCACTTAAAAATTAAAATGATTAGGACCCAGTATCCCCATGGAAACTATGTAAAACTTTTGCTGCGTCCTTTACAAAGCACTGATCTGACCCTTTATATTGCTGGTGCGTAAAGTCGGAGTTCTGGGTTGATGTCTCCAACATTGTGCATGCTGGGGTGTTAAGCAAGAGCTGGATCCAGTGATCCAAATGGGCACTGAAAATCATGGGATCTGTAAAAAGAAAAATGGTTCTAAACATCCCGAGTTAAATTCTGTATGCAGCTTGTAGGGAGCAGGGAAAGTATGGGGATTATGAATTTTGGGTGCTTAGCAGCCCAAATATTTTACTATCTTGAATAAGTGCACACAGCTCAGGATCACTAGCTATCTGTCTTTCATGTGTTCTCTGTTTTTGGTGGGACTTTTTTTCCTTGGACATTCAAGCAACAAGAAAGAATCAGTTGTTTCTTCACTATTTCCACTGTCCAAGGATTGAAATGACATGCGGGAATGCAGTATTCTTCCCCTTCTCCCCCCTTATTTTTCTCTCTAACCATTCCACACTGCTCACAAGTGACAGAAAAAGAATGGGAAAAGTAGCGTATATTTTAAATCAGAAACATTGCTTTCGGCCATCATCTTTCCTTGTGTCTCCTATTATGTCCTGTCTTGTCAGTTTGTGGCGTGATGCCCAAAGCTAAGAATCCCTAACATTTTATATGCAAATGGCTCTGGGGAAGTGTGGGAGACATTCTCTCTGCAGAGTTACAAACAACGGGGTAAATCCGGTATTAGCGGGAATGGTGCACGGTAGAGACAAATTGTTCCATGGGCATGGTATTCCTTAGCTGTACAGTTGAGAATTCTATTCCGTTTTCTCTGACGGTGCCATTTAGATGCTGTGCCTAAATGAACACTGATGCTGACATATTACATTTTGGTTTATGTGCAGGGTATATATCAGAAAGAGTAGACAAGCATTTGTATTGGAGCCACTGAGTTGGGTGCATGGGTTGTATATATTTCAGGATGCTCAACAACTTGAGTTTGTATTTCTTCATCCGGTTCAATACTGCATTAAGGAAAGAAAATCGGAGCCAAGTTAACTTTTTGGTCTGGGTTCATAATGTGCAAATAATTTACCATTTCCTCACTGATTTTTGGCTGACTGTAAATACTGCTTCAGAGGGGTAGCCGAGTTAGTCTGTAATAGGAAAAACTTAAAAAACAACAAATAGTCTGGTAGCACTTTAAAAACTAACAAAACATGTAGATGGTATCATGAGCTTTCGTGGGCATAGCCCACTTCTTCAGATTATCAGAAATCCAGAACCAAGAAACCAATAAATACTGCTGTGGTTTTAAACATGGTTTTTGATTAATGTAACCTCCCTGAAAGACATCTTAAGTCACAGGAGTGCACAGAAAACATGCCTTAAAAGTGCTGGCAAGTGACAAGTTTTATGTAAAAACCGTTCTTTGTAAAGGCCAGACATGAGCATAACGGACATGGGTTATGACTGAAAAGAATGAAAAAGGCACCAGTGGCTAATAAAGTAAAACTGTAGATAAAGATATTAAATGGCAAGTTTGAATGTAGGGAACAGAAATGAGTCCATGCTCACGGAGAGCCTGGTCCTTCATTTCCATGCACCTCACACAATCACTTCTCTATGTAAAATGCTACTGCCCAGACTTATGGTGAAAATACATCCCATTTTGGCAAGACTAAGAATATTCCCCAACCTCCCCCCCCCATTTTTAAGAGCTTTGTTCTGGCTGTTCTGACTCTTTTGGGAAGAAGTGGGCATGTGACCCATTTGCTGTAGGGCAGAGGCCCTCTTCTGTCAAAAAAGTGGGTGCAGAAGAACGTGCAGCGAGGCAAATGGTGATGTCAGCCCCATGCAGCAGACGTGGGAGGCTTCAGCTCCTGCTGCTGCAGAGAAGTGAGATGCATCGGGCAGAGAGAGTGGTGTGGTGGGGCAGAACAGGCTGCTCTGGCTCCCATGGCCCAAGTGGTACATGTGTGGAGGGTGACGGATGCTGCCACTGTGCGAGGCCCCCTCTAAGATCCTGGGCCAGATTGCTCAGGGCAAGA